CCCCAAAACCCCAAAACCCCAAAACCCCATTCGGTTAAAATCTAATCTTGTTTTCATCATAAAAATATAAAAGTAGTAAATAAAATCAATTAAAATATTTTTCTTGTAAGTAAAATTAATGGGTAACACCAAGGGAAGATTCGATGATAAGTAAGAAATTCACAACAGTTCGTAGAGCTTTGCGGCTAGACTAACTGAGTCCTAGCTGATTGTAAATGATCATGAGGACGATAATAAGGATAGTTTTTAATAGTCGAGAAATTTTAAGCTCTCCGGATTCGAGTAATTTATTCACATCAAGGATTTTCATTTAACACTCTTTATATAGTTCCAGTCTCTACAAAGAATGCAATCATTATAAGAGAGAGGGTAAATTTTAAGTGTAATTAACTGATTCAGGATAATTACTTTGCAATAACTGCTAGAATGGTGACTATCAAGGCTAAGCAACAGGAAGATTAAGGTGCACATTAAACAGAGAAAGAGCTGCAGCATTCGACAACGATGAAAGGAAAAGAGTTTCTGATAACAAAACAAATAAGAATTTAAGAGGTAATATACCATTCTAAAATGGCAGGTGATAATCTGATAAATTTTGTAGGAGTTAATAATAGCAAGCGGAAAAAGATATAGCCTCATCTAGAGGACTTTGATATTGTTAGAGTTATCGGCAAAGGCGGCTTTTCGACAGTATTTCAAGGTAAGTTTATACTACTTAATCAGTACTAATGAATGAGTGGATAATCTGATATTAATCTCATTAAATCAATGCTCAAAACTGTTAATCGATTGCCACCATTATTTCTAGACTTCTACTTTTATTTTATTCTTGATCCACTATAAATTTTAACCAATATTAAACTAATACTAAAATAGTCAGAAGGAAAGATGATGGGGCTATCTATGCGATGAAATGTTTGAAAAAATCTCAAATTAAAAGGGAAAATAAGGTCAGGCATGTGATGAATGAACGCCAGATTCTTCAGAATGTGACTCATCCCTTTATAGTAAAAATGAACTGGGCTTTCCAATCTGTAATAACTTTATACTTTATGAATAATTAGGAACACTATTTGTTTATTATATTGGAATTTTGTGCAGGTGGAGAGATATTTTATCATATGAATAAAGTGCTAAGATTCTCAGAGAAAGTTGCGAAATTTTACTTTGCTGAAATCGTTTTGGCTTTGGAATATTTGCACTCTTAAGGGATCTTCTATAGAGATTTGAAGCCTGAAAACATTTTACTAGACTAGGAAGGACATGTTAAATTAGCAGACTTTGGTATAAGTCGAATAAATTTTCAAGAAAAAGATAGATCTACCTCATTTTGTGGTAGTCCTGAGTATATGAGTCCCGAAATGCTTAAGCCTGGAAGACTTCATGGAAGGTCTGTGGATTATTATGCCTTAGGGGCATTGCTTTATGAAATGCTTACTGGGCTACCTCCTCACTTTTCCGAAAACAGAGATGAAATGTATAGAAAGATAATACACAATAATGTTGAATTTCCAAGATATCTCTCACCTATGGCAAAATCTATCCTCCGAGGATTATTAATGAAAAACCCTGAATAAAGACTTGGTGCCAAATATGGCATTCAAGAAATCAAAGATCATCCATTTTGTATCGATATTAACTGGGATGATGCAATTTAGAGAAAATTATTACCACCAATCAGACCTTCATAAAAATATTCAAACTTTGATCCTGAATACACAAGTTTACCAGTTAGATTTACTTTCGAGGAAGATTTTGTTAAGCCTAATCATACAAGGAGAAAGAGTGACCCAGGTCTTGAGTTAAATTATTCAAAAGAGAGGACTTCTGATCCTTAAAGCTCTAGCAGAGCAGGGACTGGAATGTAATCTGTTTTTAATTCAATAGGTCAGGCTATTGTCTATCCTAGCTTTGTTCATGAGAGAGCATTATATGAATCTTAGAATAATACTAATAAAACACCAACTAGTTTTAAAGTATCATAGTAAAAAGGACCTTTTGGAGTTGGAGATGAACTTAATGGTGAAGGATCTCCTCAGTATAGCAGACCCCCATCATCAACTTTTAGAGGTTATTCATTTATGAACTTCAGAAATGACTCCATTTCCTCAGTAGAGTAAAATAACCTATCTGACAATGCTAAATAGAGCTAACAGCATTCACCGAATACTTAAAAGGTAACTCAGAATTAATAATAACTCCATTCCTAAGTTCAAACACCTTAACTAAATCAATAAAATTCATAAACATAGCAAATAGGCTTCTTGAATACTTAAAACTTGTAAAATTCTTAGCAAAAGCACATAGTTACCAATATTAATCCTCAAAATGGTCTCTTCAATATAATAGATGAGTATCAATTCACCTCTTCCTAAAGAAGTAGATCAATCAGCTTTGCAAATTAATCTATACTAACTGAGGGGATCGACTTATAAAAAAATGTTTATTCAATGAATTTCAAAAGTTTTAACAGTTTCTTCAATGAGATTTAGTTCAAAGCTAATGAGTATGAATTTAATGCGTTTAATCATCAGTTTCCAAAGAAATGGTAAATGCCTGTGGCTTTTGTAAATAAACTCAGACTTGACTAGAGATAATTACAATAAATTATTGCAAATCAAAACATACTCCCTGCACCTGTAGCTTAACTAACAGAGGAAGTGATTCTATAAGATGCACTCAATAATTTCGACTATGTTGATGATGGTTATCAGTGGCCTATGATTATTAAGAACATGCCTGACATACTTGAAGTAGTTGAAACAGAAGGAAGGTAGTATGAGTCTCCAAAAAATAACTCTGTCAATCATTAGTTACTAATGGATTCAAAGATCCTCAATGATACATTCATTAGAATTAGCAATGATAGTATTCATGAAAAAGTAACCTCCATCCTATTAACTGATAAAACTCAAAACCTAGACTAGTTTACTAAAAATTTAATCAGGTTTAATGATGAGATTAATAATGTCAAAAGTGAGAGAAAAAGGAAGCCAGCCCCTAAAATTAGACATGAAAACTAAGAAAATTAGGACTAAGAAGAGCAGTAAAAAATTATTCTAGACTAACTTGACAGGAGAAAAGGGGCATAGAGTCTTTACACAAATATTAATCCTCTTAACGTAGAAAATAGAATCAGAATAGAAAGCAATTATACAACTAGAAGCGGTGAGAGGCTAACCGACATAGCTGAAATTGGAAGTGTAAGGTCAGGTGGAAAATATATGATAAACTCTCCTCCTAAGAAAGGTTAAGAAAGTTAATTGAAATTAAAGTAAAAAGCTGCAACAATGTATGGTCCTAAAGACTAAAAAGATTTTTTAGGAAAAAGTGACTCTCTCATAAAATCACCGATGAGTAATGAATCTCATAATAAGATCTAAAATACTAGGCAATAATTATAGAAAATAGGAAATACACTTATGTCCCCAAAGATTATATCTAATAAGCCATAGCTCATCTAAGAAATTACACCTAAATCTACAATGTCAAATACTATGAATCCAACTACAGCTTTGGTCTCCCCAAAAACAACTATCAGAAATTTGCAGTTTGGGGATAAGAAGACATCCACTCCTATTAATAACTCTAGCAAGCCTAAATTTAATATAAACTAAAATAATAACAATGTGAAATCAAGAAATACAGCCTCGAGTTAGCATCTACATCATTCAGCGAATAGTGTTTTAGCTGGCTAAAATGCAACCTCAGACAAAAAGTTGGGTTCTAATGCACTAATGAGAAAAACATAGCTTGAGTAAATAGATGAATTCGAAATGCTACCCAAAGATTTGACAGGAAGTTTGCTGAAATCTGCTTAAAAAATGCCTCAACTTCACCAGTCTAATACATTAGAACTTCCAAAGCAAAGCAAAAGCAAGATCACAAGACTAAGTTCTCCCAAAAATGATTAGATCATAACCTCTTAAAAAACAGCTCCGTTATCTAAAAATTCAGGATAAAAGTAAACAGCTACCAACCAAGGATAAAGCAGCGCAAATAACAAAAGCAGAGTTAAAACAAATTCTTAATACGTTTCAAATACCACAAATGGTAGCACATTCAAAGGCTTCTTTGCCACTCATGAATTTTAGAAAAATTAAGACAAATTTATAGCTGCTCCATAGAAACAGAGAATGCCAAAGTCATAAGAAAGAGAAGCTGCAACAACCAATTCTGATCACACTTTGGATGATGTGGAGGATAATGTTGATGAGTTCGTTATAAATGAAAATCAAAATATCTAAAGACTTAAGCATCCATCTCTCATCACATCAATAGCCATTAGCAGCAATAAATTTGAGCCTTTTAAAGAGTATAGCTAAACAGTAATAAGAGATAGCACATACTCTGCTTCATCTTCGATAATATCTCACTTGCCACCTTAAAATTCATTCCATAAAACCCCTGACGAGTTGAGAATGCAAGAATTTAACAAATATAGCAATTAGCAAAATTGCCCCTAGCATTTTCTCGGAGACTAGAGTTCCTTTGTTGAAGATGGAGTCCCATAAACTGAAATTTATGATTCACCAAAGGGTTCTTCTAGCAAACTGCCAGGATTGGGTGGTGATTCAGATTAATTTAAGAAAAGAGCTAATTATGTTAATTATTCAAATGCTGGAGGATTCAGCAATGCAATTGCAAACACCAAATCTGAATAAAATAGCAACTCTGTAGTATTCTCACCAAAAACGAGCAGCATTCATTTGAAGAAAAATAACCTATATCTATAGAATAGTACCTCAATGGGATATAATTAACATCTAAGAGTTGAGAGTCCAAAGCCAAATAGTAATTAACAAAGAAAATCAAAAGGTGACCCCGGCAGATACTCATTTTGGAACACTAAAAGAAGTGATTAAAAGACTCCTTCAAGTACCAATATAGACATCAATCAGGATGGATAATCAATCAAGACTCCTCGAGGCTCAGAGTTTTATAATGCCTTTGAAGAAGAAAAGAATAACCCAGGGGAGAGAGCCGAGACTGAGGTGAAAGTAAATGAGGAGAAGATGCTTCTGAGCAAGAGTGAGAGGAAGCTGAATAAAATATCAAAAGGAACTAAGGGTTCTCAAAGTTCATCATATAACACTAAGAACTAAAATCTTTAAATAAGACTTACCATATCCTAAGCTAACAAACAGCAGTAGAGTTAGCAGTAGTACCAACACTAATGATATGCTGAAAATGTAGATAGAGTACTATCCAACTCAACTTATAAAACTAACTTATTAAATGAATCATGAAGAGTAGTAAGTTATATATATACATGATAAGTTTGTGTCGAGCATACTGAGTTTTCATATTTTTATAGACAGTATGCTATTAAGATATTTCTCCAGAGTTTTTATTTTTCTTAATTTTACTACTCAATAAATTCATTTATCATTTTCCTTTCGGGGTTTTGGGGTTTTGGGGTTTTGGGG